AATGTGAGGCTGGATTGAATTCAGCATTAAGGTGCCTTTTGTGCTATCAGCACTCACCATTCTGTACTGGTGTGTTTGCGAGCCCCAGCTGTTATATGCTGCAGTTTTCAGCGTTCCAGCTGCCTTGCCTAGGAGGACAGGCCAGTGTCGCTCAGACCAAACAAGTGTAACCTGATACTACAAAAAAGTGGAAAAGTATACAGACCTGTTAACCTCTCTTTGAGTACTGTAAATGTTGCGAATGAATCGACTGCCTTGACTTCAATCCCCTTACAATGAAAATTAATTTGTATTTTGTACAGTACCTGTGCTGACCTCTATTCATGAGTTAGCTTTCCACAGCTTCTACAGTTAACATGTTTTAAAATGTTGAGGGAAAGAATATTTATTTGTTGTTTAGTTTCAACAGAAAATGAGTTTCTAGCTGAGCCAATTGTAACTAGATCATATGTATTAAAGACCGACTGTACACAGACTCTGAGGGGTGTATGGGAGGGGGGATGGAATTCATTGCAAAAAGCCAAATATTCCAAAATAATTAATATTTGGCAAAAAAATATGGCACATTTTTAAAGATTTGTATATCTAGTTTATAAAACATTGTGGGATGGAAAATAATAGGCTTATGCTGCTAAAAAGTAATAAAGCAAAGCTGCCTGCTCACCAAGACCATATAAGGATATGTTCTTCATTTTCTGTTTGTTTGAGTACTGAGCTGTGAACTTGCTTTTGTATTTATTGATGTATTTTTAGGTATTGTGAAAAACAAATCAAAACAATTTATTCATAGGACCTCATGCACATTGATCACATGATCTGGTTGTTTCTTGCTCTCAAAGCACCAGTACAAATGCGAACAACAGGTTATTGTTTTCCTTTCACAGTTTTCTTAATAAAGAGACCTTTTCCAAAGATTCATGTTGCCCTCTGTCCATTATGAACAGATCCCATCTGTGATTCTGATGTTCAACGTTTAAAGCAGACGTAGAGCAGGAAGATATACAGTACACAGAAGTTAAGGTAATATTGACTACTACTAAATATCCAGTGGCTTCAATAATGCTGGATTGTTCAATGAAGATCTCTGTCAGTCTTCAGTGGTACTTAAGCTATCTGCTATAGCCAGTCTATAAAAATAAAGTAAAAAATATAAAGTCACGTTATAAAAATAATAAAACTCCTTTCCAAATCCTAGGACTGTTAGGAATTAGTAGTGAGGACCCTATGCAGAAAACCCGGGCAAACTCCAAAAGGCGTAGTCGATAGAACAATCCGAGGTCCGAAAGCCGTAGGTAAACTAGCCGGTGCAAAAGTACAAAAACCAGAGGCAGAGCTGTAAACCGTGAGGGAGCCGAGAGTCAAAAGAAGAACTAGAGCAAAAGTACCAAAACCGAAACCAGGAGACGTAGTCGGAGAACAAACCAGGGTCAGGAAGCCAAAAACCCAGTAGTAAATATCATTGAGACTGGGAGCAGCTCTAGCCAGGAAATCCCATATACTAAGCACACGGAAAAGTGTGAGGCAGCATTAAATAGGCTGGGGAAAAGGGCTAACTGGAACTGTGCTGGAATGTGAGGTGGAATGGTGATTCCTCTGGGGGCGTAGCATAACAAGGATGGTATACAAGTTGGCAATCATTTATTTCTGTAACTCAGCACAAGTGGAACAGTTTAACCTGTATCAGGGTGAGGCTTTTCAACTAATTGTGAATGAGCTGCACTGAGCAAATGTTTGCCTGATGCACATTGTTAAGGTTTGATTTTGTCAGAGGAATTTACTGTATGCTTGAATAAAGTTTGACTGTAATAGAGTCTATTTACTAAAAATGTCAATAAATGTGCACTATCCTTTATCAATTTGGAGGGGCATTTTTCTTGGTTTTAATATCAGTTGGTGTAAATGCAGATTTTTTGAATTCATTACTGGAAAGAAAAGACAAGTGCGCTAGACTGAAGCGATACAGACTTCTGATAAGCAGTGTGCTGGGTTACCAAGCCAGTGCATTGAGACACAATTAGATTTTTTTTTCAGCTCTGAAACAGGCTTCAGAATAGATTTCTTTTAAAAAGTGAAGTAATCCTTTTTCCTATTCCAGTTTTTTTTTAACAAATCTCAACTAAACATTTTTTTTCCACATACAGCAGTGTGTGGTTTTGGCAGATCAAAAAAAAAGAATTTTTTGGCCTGGTTCATTATTTGGCCTTTTTTTTCAAACTTATATTGAAAGTGCAGTTTGGATGCTGGACACTTTTACAGGAACAGACACCTCGCTCAGCTGGACTCAAAGCCGTCTGAAGGTGAAAAGAAAAAATGGAGTCGTTCCTTTTCACCTGTCTGCTCTTTCTCTGGCCGGTAGCAGGTAAAGGGGCCTTTTTGACTCTGTATTTAACAGTCATTGTCATTATTCAAACTTTTGTATCTCTAATTCTTCGATGCCAAGTAAACGCAAAACATTTGTCAAGGTCTTATAGATTTAATTTCAATCAGTTTTCCATTCTTTTGTACATTTTCTTTATAACAGTAGGATTTCATTACCCACATATTACATTCTAGTTTAGTATACTATTCTAGTATACCTATGTCAGCAGCTCTATCACCCTGCAACTCACAACTGGCAACCCACTGAAACTAAGCAGGTGTGAGCCTGGTCAGTACCTGGATGGGAGACTCCTGGGAAAGCTCATGTTGCTGCTGGAAGAGCTGTTAGTGGGGCCAGCAGGGGGCGCTCACCCTGTGGTTCATGTGGGTCCTAATGCCCCAGTGTAGTGACAGGGACACTATACTGTAAACAGGTGCCGTCCTTCAGATGTGACGTACAACCGAGGTCCTGACTCTCTGTGGTCATTAAAAATCCCAGGGCGTTTCTTGAAAAGAGTAGGGGTGTAACCCCGGCGTCCTGGCCAAATTTCCCATTTGCCCTTACCAATCATGGCCTCCTAATAATCCCCATCTATGAATTGGCTACATCACTCTGCTCTCCTCCCCACTGATAGCTGATGTGTTGTGAGTGTTCTGGTGCACTATGGCTGCTGTCGCATCATCCAGGTGGGGCTGCACACTGGTGGGGGTGGAGGGGATCCCCATTACCTGTAAAGCGAATTTCAGTCTCTCGATGTGCAAAACTGATAGAGACATACCCCAAGCGACCTGCAGCTGTAATCGCAGCAAAAGGTGGCTCTACAAAGTATTAACGCAAGGGGGCAGAATAATTTTGCACGCCCCACTTTTCATTTTTTTATTAGTTAAAAAAGTTTCAAAAATCCAATAGATTTCGTTCCACTTCACAATTGTGTCCCACTTGTTGGTGATTCTTCACATAAAATAAAAAATTTATATCTTTATGTTTGAAGCCTGAAATGTGGCAAAAGGTTGAAAAGTTCAAGGGGGCCGAATACTTTCGCAAGGCACTGTAAGTGTAAGCAATTATTATTATATCTAAATCCTAAGATAAAAAAATAGGTGCTTTATAAATTACTCAAATGATTGTCCTCCTGACTGTCTGAGTCACTTTCCTTATGTTCTTATTTCCCTTTTGTCTAATTCCATTTGGCTTTTGCTGTACTTTATAGGGGCAGAATATGTTTTCTATATGTAAGTAAATGGACCTTGTGACAGAACAAGCTGAGGCTCAGAAAAAGCCTCTTACTTCACTGGAGTAAACTGGACACAGCAGCCTTGATTACTAATTAAAAGGAATTAAAAGGAAATCCCCCAGGCAGGAAAGGGATCAGCTGATAGTACCTGTGCTTCAGTGGACATCCCTCAAGGTAGCCGCAGTCAGTATAACAGCAAGCAGGTGCAGAGTGGCAGGTAGCTGTGTCTAAACTGCAGCCGGTCGGGGAGGGACTGGTGAGTGGATTCCTGAACTGTAGGGAGTTTAGATGGCAGAGGAGTGTTTATTCTATTAAATTGGTTTAATACAGAGATTTGCCCTTCAATTTGGGGTGGAAAAGGTGCCTTACATGACTGCTCACATCGTCAAACCATAGGATATCTAGAAGAACATACTCAATCTTTGTTGAAAAACAAAGTTTTACTGTCCCCTTAACATTAAAGGGAAAAACAAAAGTAACACCTCTGAGAATGTTAACACTAAACTGAAAACCACACTGAAAAGTCTAAAAGACTAAAAATAATGTGAAAGTGTCTGCCTTATTGTGAGAAAGTTTGTTGCCTAGATGTCTTCAATTGAGCAACTTCGCTCATGTTGCAATTTCTTTTTCTAGAGAAAGAAACAAATGACCAAATTATCTTTTTCAGGCATGAAAAGTGCATTCAGTAATGCTTTATCTAGTCACTCAATTACAGTTTTGTAATATATGAATATACAAAATGTGTACGGTAGTATAAATCTCATGGACTTCTGTCACATGCTCCCCAGAGAGTTATGGTTGCTCGACCTGCAGCTTGCTTTCTGCTCTTTCTGGAATATGTAGATTTGATTACAGATTTGTTTTATGTTGAATTATGGGTATATATGAATATTAATTATGGTATGATCCAATCACATTGCTACAGGAGTCAAAACTATATCCACTTTGGAAATCAAAATTAGCAGTCAAGTACAGCTTCGTTGCCTGTATCAGGGCAGGTAAACATCATACAGCAACTTTTAACATACAGAATTATGTGTCTCAGAACACAACAATCCTAGACATCCTAGACATCTAGGAGCAATATTTACACTACTTTGTGTTATGTGATACCTTACATTTTCTTTGGCAATGTGTTAATGGCACATTGGAGGGAACAGTACATATTTTTATCCCTTTACAAATAAAATGACATTTCT